GGCCAGCCCTGCCTGGCCACAGATGTTTTGCTGCCTAAGGCACAACAGTAAATAACGGGTGGTATGCTACTAAGTTTAATTTGGAGTAGACAGATCCAATGAAATTCATAAACATGACTAATTTAGGTCCATTCCTTTCAATGGGTCTACTCTGTGTAAAACTTGGTTGACTACCACCCAATGGTTTCTTCCCCAAGTCAAACTGAATACTGCCCACACCCAGGACTAATTGAATTATTTCTGGGACTTAAAACAAGTCTCTTGCAGGAGGAGGAGGAGGAGGAGGAAGAGGAGGAGGGAGAAAAAGAAGAAGAAATAAATTAAATAACTAATTTGCTGCTCTGTGTGGCACCCAAAGTCAGCTTCCTAAGGCAGCTGCATCTGTCTGGTAGGGTTGGTTCTGTGTCCGCATCTGTCAGACTTCGGGGAACCAGATTCCTTCCATGGTAGCAGCCAAGAAGAAGAAACAATTAAAAGTTCTTACCATGTAATTTATTAATATCCACAGGAAGTGTCGGAGGAATGCAGCTTTCTGCTGCTGAGCTCTCTGTTCCACTACTCTCAATGCACACCTGGAAAGTGGGGGTCAGGAATGCTTTCCAAAGACCCTGAGTCTGTCAGCTGTCTCTCCCCTAGTGCTTCTTCTTCTTCCTGCTGTTCCTCTTCTAAAATTTCCCAGCTTCTCCTCTCTGCAGCCTCTGAACTATGGCCTTCTGCAAACCACCGATCTAAATCTATACTGTTCTCCTGTTCTCAGGAAGGTTCACCATTCCTCCTCAGTCCAGTCCCTGACAGCATCTTCTGAGACACAGTTGCCTTTCCCCCCTAGTCAGTGGCCCATCATTAGACCAATGTTTCACCCAAGCTCAGTATTCCAGCTGCAAAGGTGACCTCATCTGGATTCTTCAATAGAAAGTATATAGTAAACTACTAAAGAATACTCCATTGCTTTCATTGATTCCCAGTCTCTAAGCCCCGATGACTAATTCACATTAGCATACATTGCAATAAAAATAAATAAATCTTACAGATTTTCAAATTCTAATCCAATATCAAGTTAATGATTGGGACCAAGGGAGTGAAATTGCACGGATGAGTTTCTCCTTACATAATGGAGCCTGATAATTTTCTGTATTACATGAACTGCTGTGGGAATTCTATGACTCTGCATTATTCAGAGGACCATAACTGAAGCCTAGGATAGTCCCATCTCATTAAAATGTATAGCTGCTTTCCAGGGGTGTTTTTATTTTTTATACGGATAAATCCTATGATATCATTTAAAATACACAAAAGCTAAGCCTTTGTATTAATGCTGAAAATTGTGAACCAAGATCTATTCACACCCAGCAACATGGGTAGGAATTTCATCCAACTGTGACTGCCAGCACGAGGCAAAGCCTTTATATGTTGTATTTATATTGTATGTGTATGAGGTAGTCATGAACTCTATGACTGGCTGAAGCAATTCACAGACATTCCAATTGCTCAGGGAACTGAGCTGCCAGGATGCTTGAAGTCCAGCTGCTATGAGAGAAGGAGAAGTTATCAGTTTTGCTGGGATTGACCTAGAAGAATAGATAGTAGGATGGGCAGGTAAGTGGGTGGAGGGCCCAGGTAGCAAAGGAAGCTGCACTGCAGGAAACCCAGAGCTGAAGGAAGCAGTGCAGGCAATGCGATATAGGAACACAGGAAAGAAGCACAGACAAAGGAGCATCATGAGAACTGGATTGGATTGGAACTAAATTTGTCATTCCCTCCTGACTTTCTTTTCAGTGCTGCATCTGGCTCCCCCCCCCCCCATCTGGCTTGCCCTTCATTTCCAATTTCACCTTTGATCCAGAGTTCCCTAGGAAGAGAGACTGATTTTTAAACCACTATGGGAATTGTAGTTCTGTGAAGGGAATAGGGGCGCCCTAATAAATCTCAGCACCCTTAACAAACCACAATTCCCAAGGGTGTTTTTGGAGCAGAGGGAGACATGACTTTATAAAAATGGTATCCTAGTAACAGTGGTACCTTGGTTCCCAAATGGCTTGGCTCCGAAACAAATCGGTTCCCAAACGCCACAAACCTGGAAGTAAGTGTTCCAGTTTGTGAACGTTTTTCGAAAGCTGAACATCCCACGTGGCTTCCGATTTTTTTAAAAAATAATTTTTATTAACAAACCAATCAAATCACATTAGTTCCAAATTACAAAACCGAATTTTAATTTTTTGTTGGTGGTACCCATGCTTCAAGCTCAGAAAGGGGTCCAATCATCTCTTATTTCTGCTGCTTTGATGTTCACAGTTCTGTCCATTCATCTCTTTGTTGTTTTCCTTTACAAATCATCTTTCAATTTTCTTGTTGTAGTGCCCACACTCCCTCCTTCTTTCAAACTCGGAGGTGATTTATAGGCAACCGCAGACGAGGCAGTGTTTTCCCATTCTCCCTGGGAAGACTCGGGAGGCTAATTACTCCCATATTAGCCTCTTAATTACCTCGTGTGAGCCAGAGAGATGGTATTGTCGGCCATCTTCCAATGCGCCCCTAGCGGCCCCTCCCACGTGGCTTCCGATTGAGTGCAAAAAGCTCCAGTAGCCAATCGGAAGCTGCACCTTGGTTTTCGAACAGTTTCGGGAGTTGAACAGACTCCAGGAATGGATTAAGTTTGAGAACCAAGGTACTTTAAAAATGTATGATATAAATGTGACTTGCGATAATATTCATGAACTTAGTAGCAGCTGGTTGAGGTGGGGCACCACTCCTCAACCAGCTTGCAAACAGACTGTATCACTGGCATCTACAGGAGGCAGAGGAGCAAGGTGTTCAGAGCTTGGTGTTGCCCAGATGCCCAATGGCAAGGGAAGTAGATTGACTCCACCATGCTGCATTGCACAGAGCCTTGCTCCCCCTACCTTGCCTCTGCTGCTCTCCCTCCGGTAAGCACCAGTGACTCACCAGTCTGGAGGCTAGGAGAGCAGAGATGCCTCAATTCTTCCACCCCACCAGCCACTATTTCAAAACATTAAGATAAAAGCTCACTGCTCTTATGCTGATCTGGGTATTCTCCCCCACCCCCTTAGAATATTATATGTACAAAAACTTACTCCATGAGTTATGGCTTTTATATTTTACACCTTGTTAATAAGAAATACAAAATCACAGATGTGCAAGACTCCGTACAATGAAATATTTCTATGTTAATAGCAAAATAATGATTGCACTAAGAAAATGTTTACAGTGCTACAAAAAAGCAATAACTACTTAGTATTAACATTTAGAGAGAAATTCATTGTGCTCTAGTGAATTGGCATTCCAATCCCTTATCATTTTTTTTATTTATTTAAAAAACTGAATGCACTTTAATCTGTATCATAAGCCATCCTGCTGAAAAAGTTTAAAGGACACCAATTTCTTTCTCTTTCCCCTACAGTCAAACTGCACTGAGTAGAAACTCTGGTGCACAAGGCAGTCGAACGCTGTCAAATGTATTAAAATATATCACACACACAAAAATGGCAAGCAGGCAGTATCATAAACAAACCTGCTTAGCATCTACACTTCCTGGTATTCTTTAGGGAAGCCATGACTTTTGAAGTAGTAGAATAGTGTTTTGAATGTATGGTGTGGATATTTCCTAATTCCGCCTTAACTGTGTGGCATAGTGAGTAAGAAATACCAATATTTTCCTTTTTAATCTCGTATCTTCCTTCTCTACAAATAGGTGGTGCAGAGCAGGGCTTTTTCCCTGGTGGCACCTGACTTGCAGAATGCTTTCCTGCTGAGATGCAAATCTCCAATCAAGGCAATCCCTTCATCTCTCAACTTGACTCCTGTTTTTAATTACTAAGCTGTTTCAATGCGATTGTTTTCTTGTGTCATTCTGGATGCCTTTAGTTCAATGTTTTAATGAGTTTTCCTTATTGTGTATTTTAATGATGATGTTCAGTCTAATATTTGAGGAACTGGCTTTTATAGATTGCAAACTGCTTAGAAGCCTATTTTGGGATTAAGCGGTATATAAATTCAACTATAATAACCATAACCTTAATTGATCTACAACCATACATTTGCACTCAATACAGGCTAATTTATACCATGCACTATATTAGAAAAATCAAGGTGCGGTGGTGTTTTAACAGATTTATGATGAGCAAAAAACAGGAGGTGAAAGGAAAACGGTAAATAAGAAATTAGATTCAAGTAGGTAGCCATGTTGGTCTGATGCAGTCGAAATAAATAAATAAATTGTCCAGTAGCACCTTTAGAGACCAACTAAGTTTGTTCTGGGTATAAGCTTTCATGTGCCTGCACACTTCTTCAGATACCATTCTTATTTTTTAGTAAATAAGAAAGATACAAAGAAGGTGTGTTGACTGAATGAGGATCCTTGAAGTGCAGCATTATTTTGAATCTATACCATTTTCTTCCTCCCCAACCTTAAAGCATCTGTACTTGTGCAAAATGAATGTGTCCACGGCACTTCAGTACATATTCTTTTTTCTACAAACTGATTATTTCCACCTAAGTGCTATGTAAGTTTGAAGCAGCCCCGGTTTCAATGGGCTTTTTATCAGAGAACTTCCCAGGAATAGTTCCCTACAGCATTTTATATACGATTTGCCAGATAAATTGTGCATGAGTGTATACAAAATGTAACTATGCCGTGCTTCCTTAGAAAATGTATTGTATCCCATGTCCAGCAGTGTATAGTTGAGAGGTAGCGCTATACACATGCGCGCGCGCGCACCCACACCCACACCCACTGCTCAATTTTTAGGACTCAAAAGCATTTTCATTCCATTTACATTTAAAATTATTTTCTAGAAACGTAGGAGAGGTAGCATATTGAGGATAACATATAGTCTTGCAGTGCCACCTAGTTTTTAAATGTGGGTATGCCCAGTGTCCAACATTTCCACTTGATATGTGGATGGAAACCCAGCACAGATGGATTCATGGAATAATAAAATTGTAAGAGTTAGAAAGGACCACCAGGGTCATCTAGTCCAACCCACTGTAATGCAGGAATCCTTTGTCCACAACCCTGAGATTCACAGTCTTATGCTCTACCAACTGAGCTATCGCAGCCCAAAGAGATGTAGTAGTAATAATAATAATAATAATAATACACATAGATATAACTGGGGACTGGAATAGCTCCAGATGATACACAACCAAATAGCTCAGTCGTAAGCATGTTTACTCATGTCAAGTTCAGTAGGAACCACTCTGAAATAAATGTGCACAGGTCAGCCGTAGCAAGGTTCTGCCAGTATAGCAAAAGTGTGTATGGGGTGGGGGTGGGGGTGTGTGTTCCAGAAACACTTGCCAATCTGACCTGGTGGAAGCATTTGCTAATAGACAGGGAAAGCCAGCCCTAACACTAGATAAACTGAGGCAGCCAACTCAGGTGATTTGAGCTGCCACAAAATGGTAAACGATTACTATGGGCAACCAAACAGTTCCTCTAGCATAAGTGCTTGGGGCTGCACAGTGGAGATTTTTCTCTTTCTCTGCTCCCTGTATGCCCCTATGGCCCCCCTAAATGTGTTCTGAAGGTCCTCCCAACCCTCTGGAGAAGATATGTGGGGAGGGGGCTTGCATTAGCAGAACGGTTTAATTGGTTGCCACCCTTTATTATTATCGTTTTATTTTTACTCCTAGGCTTGTGGGATTTTCTGCATCAGGCACCACACTAGATAAATCAGCCTTGGGTACTATGCACCATTACTCAGGGCAAGAAGCACCAATTGCTGCTCCACCCCAGGCAGCAAAAGGGTTTAAGGTGGTTTTCCACACAGGTTAGTATGAAATCTTTCTTTTGTGGAGTTGCAATGGTGGGAGCCATTCTACATGGGGGCCAAACAGTGAGTTTAAGCATCCATGTTTACCAAAAAGACAGGTGATAATGGTTCAGATGGATTTGCTGTCACCTGTAATCACACCCGCTCCCATTAGGAATGCACTCTTTGAAAGTGGTTCTAAGACAGTCTGGCAGGTTTTTGATCTTGAACCTGCCTTTGCACCGAGCGCTCATCAACCTATCAGTCCGCCCACCTACACCCTTTGCAGAGTTGTTATTTAAATCTTCCCAACAATGCTTTTCCAAACAGCTAATATTACAGCATGTGTCACAGCGCCATGGTAACTTTCATTACTTTGAAAGGCGTTTAGAACAATTGGCTTGAACGGTGATCACAGGTGGGCTAGACTTTGATTACCTTATTTTGTATCTGGGAACATGATCACTCCAGTAATCATCACGCTTCCTTCAAAAGCTGTACTAGTAGAATAGGGTGTTATTCATATTCATTATGGCTTTATGATAATGCAATTGTAAGATTTTGCACCGAGCTGGCTTCAAGGTTATGAAACAAATATTGGAGACTCTGTGCACGCTCCATCTCAAAACAATTAATGCAGCTGAGTTTTGCGCTAACCTTTATGACTGCAATATGCAAACCACATACACTGCCATATTTCATACGAAGGTTGCCTTGTGGGTTTTGCTTAAGCTACCACCCAAATATAGCTACCTCCATTTGCCAGATTTTGGGGGGCCCTCAGCACATTGCCACTGATGGGCCCTCCAACCAGATATCTCTCCTGCTAAAACCTAACAAGATTTTGAAATGTATGCATTACATGGCCCAATAGGGTTAAATGAATATGCTGAGAATATTATCTCCTCTGCCTTCCTTCACCTTCCATGCTGCTGCCTTTGTCCATTCTATCCAGTCTCCACCCTGGGCAGCAGACAGAGGTAGGAAAAAGCAGCTCTAGAAATTCATAGCTCTCATGTTATATCCCAGAAGGCCATGTGCCAATCTGAGCTCTGACCTTGCTCACTGCCTAAAACCCTGTAAGGTAGGCAGGTACTACCAGCCAGTCTAATTTATTTAACAGAAACTGAGGTAAGGGGATTGAGGAGCTCATGTTTTGTGACCTTGCCCCTCCAATACCCCAGACCCCTTCTGCCCACCTATTTGTGACCCTGTCTTCACTGCTTGCCTTGGTCCTAGCTGTGGGTTGCAGCCCAGGGTCACTGAGGAGATTAATTTCATTATCTAATCTGGGGCAGCCTCCTGGCTGCCTGGCACCATCAAAGGAGGAAGGAGGCTGTACTGAGTCTTGCTGCCCTCTAGATCTGCTATCCGCCCCACATTCTGAGGCTCTCCTCTTCGTTAATCTGGAGGAGCCTTCCTCCCCAGCCTTAAGAAAAAGGAAAAGCCTTTTTTTAAAATAAAAAAAAGCTTCTTTTGGCATGGGCTGGACTAGAGTGCACCACTTGCAACTGCGGGTGGTTGTCCTTTCTCCTGTTGGACAGCTCCTTGCTGGGAGATAGCACTTGTCCTGCATCTATTGCAAATAAGTTACCTCTCAGCATTTTATTCCCACTTGCTGAACCTTTTCTCCAGCCCACTCCCACCCTGCAACCCCGCCAGAGGGTAATTCTACCTGATAGGCTGGTGAATTCATATTTCCCTCATAAACTGGTCCCTTTAAATTTCCGCAAGGTACAGGGAAACAAGGCCCTGGGAGGGAGGGAGAATGCATTTGCTCCAAACCTGAACAAATTTGATCCATTGATTTATTTGCAATTTTGAAGATAAGTTTAGGGTAGAGAGCCTTAAAGCCCCACCCTGCCTCAATTTCCTAAGAAGCAAGTCTTACTGAGCCTAAAGGGACCAGTTTCCAGATAGCTTGCAAGGATGATAGTCTAGTCTACTCAAAAAGTAAGTCTCATGGAGTTCAAGTCACGATGCATAAAATACCACAAAACATACAAAACCATGTAAAAGTGAAATGAAGAAAACCTAGATCTTAAAGGGAACCACAGCAGTGTTTAACTCTTGGGCTTGCATTTAGACGCATTGATTATTTTGCTATTCTCATCACTTGTTCCAGCTCCACTGAAGCCATTATCAGGTCAGGAATTTAACTCCTGTAAAAGGGTAGCCTGGTCTCCATCATGCAGCCTTTCACCAGCTGAATATTTCAAGATTTTCATTACCGTCATAAGGAAGCATTAAGAGTGATAGAACAATCAGTCAGCAAAAAAATCTATTACTCTTTATGGAAAAGTGGCCATTACAGTCTCACCCAAAAAGTTTTTCATTTCCTGAGTGACCAGACAGAACTTTCTGGGGATGTGGAGGAGGGGAAAGCTGTCATTTAGATAATCCTGTGCATAGCACAAGACGGATGCAAAGAAAAGGAATATGTTTCAAAGGATTTTGAGATGTTTCTGATGAAGTTACATCCCAATAGCTGGACACTGACCCATCTAACACCACAGAAAGTTTTTAACTATAACTGTATTTAGAATAATTCTTTAAAAAAACCCACCATGGACGTTTTTGCTGCTACATTATTGCCACTAATATACCGGTATGCATTTTTATGTACACTTTACCTTAGTGTATGCCTAAACGGCCTCGGTCCAGTATACCTGAAGGAGCGTCTCCACCCTCATCGTTCTGCCCGGACGCTGAGGTCCAGCGCCGAGGGCCTTCTGGCGGTTCCCTCACTGCAAGAAGCAAAGTTACAGGGAACCAGGCAGAGGGCCTTCTCGGTGGTGGCACCCGCCCTGTGGAACGCCCTCCCATCAGATGTCAAAGTGATAAACAACTTCCTGACATTCAGAAGACATCTTAAGGCAGCCCTGTTCAGGGAAGTTTTTAATCTGTGACATTTTGGTGTATTTTTGGTCTCTGTGGAAGCCGCCCAGAGTGGCTGGGGAAACCCAGCCAGATGGGCGGGATACAAATAATAAATTATTATTATTATTATTATTATTATTATTATTATTATTATTCTGCACATCAATGCATTGCCAGATTCAGAGAACTGAAAACTTCAAGCGATGCTTACGTTTCACTTTGCATATTGTTTCATAAAGTGCAAATTTGGTAGATTCACCTTTAAATGCAAACTGAATTGAATTTCTCCTGCATTCCTTCTTGCAGTGATATAGCAGGCTCGAATGCCTGCACTCACTGAAATGCTAAAGACCTTCTGAGGCTCCCCAAGAATAACACAGAAAAAATGGAGGGCCTTTTTGCAGCAGATGGAAACTTTCAAGCAATCAGAGGACAGGTTCCAGCACAGCACTACTATATGCAGACTCCCTGTGTTTAAACTGGATGTAGAATGCTTCATCTGTTCATTAACAGGTGTAACCTCTTCACAGGTGTTCATTAAAGTGGGTTCAGCCTTAATCCTCTTAAAACTTAAACAGCGAGCTTTCAAAAGAAAAGAAAAAGAAGGGGGAGGCCTAACACTGCCAAGCTCTTCCGTTTGTTTTTTTAAAAACACACTTTAGATAGAAGAATTTCCTCAGTTGTCTTAAAGACCACACATGCTTCTCCTATAAAAATGTTCTGTTGAATAGCTTTTCTAAAAAAAACAAACGCAAAAAACACCCCAAAACCCTGCATTTTATCTTTGAGGTTTTAGAGGGAAAGTGGCCCATCCGGGAAACATCTAATTCAACCAGTCCCAATTGCTGGAGACAGTGATCTCTTTCTCCTTCTAACACAGAAAAGCTAAAAACACAGCACTCTGTAATTTAAGGGGGACAGGAAGGTGCTTCTGCTGTTGCAAATGCCTTTCAAAGCTCCTAAGCACTAGATATTAAAGGCATATTCAATAACTAGCATTTTAGGAGCTTGTTTAAGTTATCCAGCCCTTTTCACTGACAAACTGAGCCAAAGAATTCACTAAACAACAACAGACAGTTTAGAAGGAAGAGCCCTATTATCTTAATGGGATGGCTAAATGGATGTTATGATATGAAACTCGCCGGCACCCAAATCCTGAGTGCATTTTACTTGAAAGCAACTCCTGCTAATTTCAAAGGTACTTTACTTCCAAATAATTTGTGGCACTTGCTTTCTGAGGTCTCACTTCATTCACGCAAAATAGTCTTCTGTGATGCAAAAGTGAAGAAGAATGTAGCTTCATAGAAGACTACAGTGGTACCTCGGGTTACATACGCTTCAAGTTACATATGCTTCAGGTTACATACACTTCAGGTTACAGACTCCGCTAAGCCAGAAATAGTACCTCGGGTTAAGAACTGCACT